CAACCCCGTCGGGCGTTACACCGGTGGAACGATGGAACGGTGGAAGTTACCGCACCGAATCGAATTTGCTAATACGGCCAGCAGCCCAGGGGGACTTTGCTCGTCGCGCGGTACGGAAACGTTGTCCAGGTTATTTAACAGGCAGAGAAACATCGTTTCTAACAACTTATTAACTGAAAACGTTTATAAACCGCCCATTATACAACAAGTCCACGATTTAGAATTCGCGCGAGCGATCCTCGCCGGGTTTAGGTTTGCTCGCGCCGCCTCCGTTTCTCACCCTTTATTTTCCGGCCGAATTCCCCCCCCCCCCCCCCCCCAAAAAAACGTAAAGTCAACGTCAGTCGAGCGATTTCGAGGATTTCATTTACAACGAATCACGCCTCCGTAACTATGAAGTGACGACGTTTGCACCAGCGTGTGTACAAAAGTCGAGGTACGACGTTCCACGAAGGAGTTCGTGCTTTGGCGTTTAACCACTTGCGCTTGCCGACTGTATTGCGGACCGTAACGAGTGACCAAGCCGTGTACAATAACTCGTCGAACTCGTCACTTTTCGAACTCGTCAGCGTGATGTGGTGTGATGTCACTGGATAGAAATGATCGAGAAGCAATAGATTTATTAATTCGTTTATACACGTAATAAATATACTTAAAACTGAAAAGAGTATTGCACGGCACGTTATTTCAGCGCAAGAGGTTGAACATTTCGAACATTTTTTTTATTTTTTGAAATTCATCGTCGCTCTCGATGATATTTATACGTCGGACGATCTTCGTTCGAGTCTGAATCTAATGAAGAATCTTCGGATGCTTCTTATTCTTATTGCTCTTTAATTTTCACGTGATTTTGTATCTATATTTTACGTGATATGTGCAATTAAAATGCAAAGAAAACACAATTTGCGTTATCGCAAATGATACTTAATCATTGCAACCTGAATGCTACAAAGCTATATCCAAAATAGTAACGAAAAGAAGCAACAAAATGAAATATTATTGATACATAAACCGAGAGCTATTACGCTTTTTATTGTTCAACAAACACCGATAGAAGAAAAAATAATGACAATTACACAAGATGGTCCCTTTGACTTCTATCTGTAGGCAGTTTGCAAAAGCATTTACATTGATATGTTTCAGGTTAGAGTCGATAATCGTTACCAAGAATATTATCGGTTTTTAAAAAGATGTTGTATAACAAAATATATACCTTGCCACAAAAGGAATTAAATCATTTAATAGAACATCGATACATTAATACGTGATTTGGAAATTACTCTGTTATTCTACACTCCAATTTTTATCTGCTAAAGAAATTTAAATATTTCGCACACGTACGAAATAAACACATAAATCCGCGAAGGAGAATAAAAAGAAAGAAGAAAGAATTGATATGATTAATTTTAGCTTAAATTCACCGGACTGTTATTCTTTAAACATTATATTGTTATTATTCAAATATGATTCAAACGTGAGCAAGGATTTTTACAACAAGCAAAACCATTATAATACTCTGACTATGTAAAAGTTACTGTTATTATAACTAGATGGTAACTATTTTTATAAACTATGACTATAGCAAAGTTACGATTATCACAAACTAGTGTAATAGTTATTATCTATAACTGTTATAAAAGTTGTATAGTTGTGCGATTGCACGTATATCGAGCTGTACGATAGAATACGCTCTTTTTTTGTTAGTTTTCCGAGTCTGTGTTTCGAGTTTGACGTTGTCGCGTATCTTTTTCGTCGCGATGTAAATCCGAGACCGACGTCGCAATGCGAGTCCAGGAAGCACAGTTGCTTCCTCTCCTTGATTAAGCTCCCAAATTAAGGATTTTTATAACGCGAGCGTACGTTATCCGAGCGCGTGCACGGTTATTCGATGTCGCGCGAGTAATTAAGGGGACGTGAATGATAATCGTGCTCGTGGTAAGGAGCAGCGAATGTTCGCGTACTATTTTTTCTCCCTTTTTCTTTTTTTTTTTTTTTGCAGAAATTCAAGTGCAAATTAAATACTTTTTTTCCACGGTACGTGATTAACTTTCTAAATTAACAATTTTTATAGTAGGGATATACTACTTCGTATAGCCATTCCATAATTAAGAGGACGTGAATGATAATTATCCTGCTTTTGTATAGCCTTTCGGTATTTCGTAACAATTAGCGAATGTTCGCTTATCTATTTGTGAAAATTCTAGTGAAAATCAAAGGTTTATGAAAATATCAGTTTTCTAAGTTTATGATTTTTACAACGATAGATTATGAGTTGTTAAAATGACTATTGTGCTTATTCGTTAGTTTCTAAACGCATCGTATCTTTTTATATAACATTTTAATTCAAATCTATGATCGATTTGATTAATGATTCTCATAATTAGTGATTTTTGAATTAATTATTTTTGTGATTATTATTTTTTTTTTTTGATGTCGTTTGTTTGATGCAATTTGTGCGCGTGTATTTGTTATTCCAATTATGAATAATAATTGTGCTCTTATTAGTTCTTAAACTCTGATAACTTTTTTCTTCCCTTTTAGCTCAAGTTCTAGTACAAATCTAACAATAGGAATTGAGCGACCTTGCTCGATTTACTTTCTAAATCGGTGATTATCATAACAAGAATCAAATTTTCGAATATCACTTTGTGCGCGTTTTGTATCGTGCAAATAATGAAGGGAATCGTATCTACTTTTTTCACTCGATTAACAGAAAATGACACTTTCCAACTTCCAATAAATAAATTTTCTAATTTTCGTGATTCTCCGTGTTCAAGTAGCCCTGCTAATGATTCATTTGTTCGTTTCAACGAAAGGAACGAATTAAAAAGAAACGGGAAGGAAAAAAGAAAATTCCAAATTGGACCGAGCTGTTTCAAATACCGCGCGAGTTTATTTTTAAAAAACAGACGAATTGTCTAGTTTTCTATTTGTCCGTTTCGTTTCGCTTGATAAAATATAAGAATCTCTCTCTCTCTCTCTCTCTCTGTCTATTGAGAGATATAATTTGAAAAATTCTGATCCAATGGCACGAAACGCACTACAGCCATAAAAATTATTCTTCCCGAAGACACATTACGCGCAATCATCGTCTCCGCAAGTAGCATTTATCGTCTGTCACGTGTGAGATCACTCGCTAGTTCCCCAAAGGCAATATTAACTTCAGCAATAAGTGGGTATCCTCGAGAACTTGTCAAAATATTGAAGTTCGGAAATTTTCGTCATCGCTGAAAGAATCGCGAGGACCTCAAAGATCTCGGCTTATCCTCAATCCGAATTACGAGCAACATGATACGTTCGACGCGAGATTTATCAAATTTATGTATACCAAGCGCCAGGGAAACAATGAAATTTCAAATCTGGATTTGCTGGTTTCTCAAGCAAGAGAAAGAAAATCACGATCGATTGAAATCGGCTGATTTTTAGCTAATTTGAAGCCTCGGAATCAGTCGCCGCTGTTCGCTGGCAACTGATTGCGGACCGTAACGAGTGACCAAAACCGTATATACAGTGATTCGCCGCTTTCTGAACTCTTCGTCAGTGCGATACGATGCCACTGGATAGAAATGATTGAGAAGTAACGAATTTATTATTTGTTCTGCCTTGGGTTATACTTAAATATACCTAAAACTGTGAAAATATCGCGATGCTTGACGCGGCACGCAGGAGGTTAAATTCACAGCAGTTCAAATTAACGATTTAGTAACGCGATCCGTGCAAATTACAGCGTGAGGTCCAGGTATAGCAATGAATCGTTTGACGTCGGAATCGGCGAGATCGTTTGGAAACGTTTGCCTCTTCGAAGACTTAAAGAGTCTTTTCATTTCTTTCATCTTCTCTCGGTCCCATCGCGGCCCAAATCAATACGAGTTAATTCGTCGATAAAAATATCGTATCGGTGGAGAATTCCGTGTGCCATCAGATCCCCCAATTACCGAACGGCCGGTCGAGAAAAACTCGTTGAACTCGTTAAGCCGCAGCGGCGGCGGCGGCGGCGGCGGCGGTCCCTGTTACCAATCCGAACGCAACTCCGGTTCAACCATCGTTCGAGTAAGATTCGTACGAGGATGAAATCACGACGAGCGAGCGGTGTACCTGGCGGAGGAGGAACGTATCCCAGGTCACGTACGCCACCCACGGTGTTCTTCGATTTCGATAAATGAAATGAAAATCGAAATTCATGGGGGGATTTCGCCAAGGCGCACGAGCCGAGCAATCGTAAACAGAACTGCTCCCCTCTGCGAGATTCGCCCTATCACTCCGCGATATCGGCGAGGATAAATCGAAATTTCCTTTTCACATTCGCGATCTATCGCGTAAGTCGCGCACTTTCCACCCGAATTGCCGGGAATGGAATATTGTTTCCAAACGACTCCGCTCTTCGCTGACACTCGCGCACTTCGCACCCGGCACCGAAGGAACTTTGTTTAATTAAAAAAACTGCTAGAGAGCGGAGAGACATTTCCTGTTTTCTTTGTTATCAATTTTTATCGCCGGAGCGGCGAACGATGCGACGATGTGGATCGAGATAACTCTCTTTGTTAAATCGCGATAGATACATCGGGCGTGCGTTCCGAGCGACGAACGGTAAAAGAGTATCGACGATCGAAACACCAAAAAAAACGTCCGATGCGTGAATCGTTCAAGATTCGATGAGAAACCGTGGATGTTTTCCAAATTTCTCTCTCAACGGATCCTCCCGATTCCGCCGCTTTGAGATGAACGCACGTCAGAGAAAAGTGCGCGAGGTGATTGATAACAACGCGGAGCCTCCTCCCGCGGACATTACGGACAGGAAAACTGTCGCTGTTTCCCCGATGGAAGTAAAAACGGACAACGGTTGAGGGGGGGGGGGGGGGGGGGGAGGAAGGGTTGAACGAAAACGGGGGCAAGAGGAAACGGAAATCGGTAAAGCGACCGGTTCGAACTTTCGGCAAACATTTTACATAAATTTGTTCACCCCATCACAAGTTAAAACTTTCTTCAATTTCTCTTCTCACCGAGTCTCTCTTTCTCTCTCTCTCTCTCTGTATGTGTGTGCGTATTCGTCGAATCTTGAGAGAAAAAAAAAAAAATGCACTTTTAAACGACCGAGCGGGCTCTCGTTTGTTTTTACAAATTCGGACGTACCCGCGTTTGCGCGTATACATATACACTATGTATATACATATATATATATATATATATTATATTATATATATACGTATATATATATATACATATATATATAGATATAGATATATGTATATACATGCACAGAACGAACCCAAATAAGCACGGTGCTCACTAAAAGCTGAAAGTGCGCGTACGCTCGCGACGGTCGCGGGCTGAATACTGGCGCGTCGTGCCGCCCGGACTTTTAGTTCCCGGCGCTACCGAGAAGCGTCGCGACGCTTCTCTCGTGCCCCACTCTCGCGCTTCAGCCCTTGGTTCACGTCAGCCGGCCGGCCCTCTCAAATCGTCCGGCACGTTTCACGGTATCCCTCGGTTCGCCTCTCCTCGTTTCGCGTCGCCTCACCGCGCCTCGCAACCCCGTCTCTCCTCTCCTCTCCTCTCCTCTCCTCTCCTCTCCTCTCCTCACCTCTCTTTGCCGCTCTTCGTCTCACCACGCCACGCCACGCCGTACTTCACCCTCACCCGAACCGCCACCGCACCCCGCTGCAGCTCGCACCGCTTTGCCTCACCTCGCCCAGACTAGCCCAAGCCCTAGCCTCGCCTCTCTCTCTCTCTCTCTCTCTCTCTCTCTTTCTCTCTATCTCGTGCCTCACCCCGTCGAGAGACTCGATGGATCTCTCGTATTTCCATTCTCGATCGCCCCGTGACGCCTCGTATCGTCACCTGTATGTACAGTCTTTTGATGCGCTGCTACCTGGTAAATGACAACTCTCTGCTGGGATACTGCCCCGGACACTTAACTCCGAGCCAACGTTCCCTCGCGCCGTCTCGCAGAAACGATCGGCGTCGGCCCGCGAACGGTGATGACCGAAGGTGCAAACAGGCGACAGTGAGTGAACCGATATTATTACACTTGTGTACTTGGGGAAATTACGATATGTATTATATATATGTATATGTATATATTCCACCGAGGCTGACCCGGCCTCACTGGCATCACTGCTATCATCGGTTTAATTTAATCGAACTTTAGTATGTCCGATCGATCCGTCATCCGGCGAGAATGTGAAATTAAATATAAATTCGATGCGATGATAACTTTGCGGACGTGACACGTCGCGATACCGCTTGAGGGTTAACTTCAAATTTCCAACGGAGTTTCTGTTTCATGTGCACACGCGGGGTAAGAGTCCGTATTTCAATCTGTGTGTAATTTTTAACCACTTGCGCTGGAACTTGCAACCTGTTCCAAGCGCCAGAGAAACAATGAAATTTCAAATCTGGATTTCCAAGAGAAAGAAAATTATGATTTCATCGAGATCGGCTGGTTTTTAGATAATTTTTGAAGCCTCGGACACCGCCACTGTACGCTGGCAACTGATTGCGGACCATAACGAGTGACCGAAATCGTATGCAACGATCCGCCGCTTTCTTTTCGAAACTCAGTCAGTGTAACGTGATATCACTGGATTGAAATTACTGATTATAAATTTATTTATTTGTTTCGCCTATTTTGTTTCACTCGAGTGTACTTAAAACTGAGGAAATATTGCAATTTCTGCGCAAGTGGTTAATACACGATCCTCTGTTTCACGGATAGTCGAGTGTTTCTGTTACACCTGCTGTTGTATGAGCATAGAACACTTTGCTCAGAAGTCTCGAGATGAATAGAAAGACTGAAAGTATCAAGCGACGTTGATTATTAACTATAGCCTGTTAACAGTTGGCCACGTGAAATAAAATGCGTTATAAAAAGTCTATAACAGATGTCGAATATTGAAAATAAATAATTTCTGAGCGAGAGTGTAAGTTATTACGTGCATTTTGTAACAATGAAGATTATTTGTAAAATGTATGTCCAAGTCCAGCATCTTCGCCCTTTTAAATCAATTTTTTCGATTTAATTTTCATTTTCAATTTCCATTTTTCGTGAGCCATCTTTAATCATCGATGATTCATCTTGTTTTGCTTTTCTCTTCTCGTTCACTTCAAAGTTAATTCGTTTAAATGGATGCCGGGCTGCCCCCATCTCCGTACTTTTTGATATTTTAATCAAATCACTGGTATGACTCATCGGCCGAAAGTTTCATTCTTCATTATCGCGCAAGTATGTCCATGTAGTTTTTTAATTTATCATATACATAAAAAAAAAAACGAAAAACGAGCAGTTTCCAAAATGTTTTGCTAAATCGAACCAAGTTATTTTAGATTCTTCCATTTTTAACAATTTATTTTCTCTTGTTAAAAATTGAAGTCAAAATAATGTCACACTTATGTCATATCTTTACTAATCCTTGAAGCATACAGTGTTACAAAGTATAATCAATAATAAAATTATTGTTTTACTTACTAAAAAGGGATTATATATTACAATATGTTGAATAAATATCTATATCAAAAGCCACATATACGTTTAAAGATGAATGCATTCTTAATTCATTGTATGTCCCTCGTTTACTTTTAATAACTCCAAAGCACTCAAAATTTCAATTTTCTAACAACTTATATTTCCAATTCCGTCTTCTTTTAAGGAAGCGTGTAAAATTTTTTTTAAACCATTTACATATTTTTGTCAATTTTTTGTGCGTTTAATCCACAATAGAGTATTGCACAAATTATCTCATAATCTACTAAGTAGAACAATAATAATATTAATATATTTTAATATAAAAATTTATACTATTAATATTAATTTAAATTTCACCTGAAATTAATAAATTTAATACAACATATAATTTGAAATTAATAAATTTAATATAACAATAATAATTTTAATATATTTTAATATAAAAATTTACTATTAATATTAATTTAAATTTTATCTAGAATTAATAAATTTAATATAACAATTATTTCTACAGCAATAAAATTTATAAATTATTAATATAAGTTTAACCGCTATTGCTGGCACTTTAATTTATCATTATTAATTTTAATTTTCCCTATGTAGAAATTTTTATCAATTCTATTACATACATATATATTTAATATAAATAAATTACATATAACATATTAATTTAACTAATAATTTAATCATAATTATATTAATAACAAAATTATTAAGAGCTTATCAAAAGCTACATGTACGTCCAAAGATAACTGTACTCTTCATCTGTTACACGCTTTTCTCGTTCGGTACTAAACTTTCAAACTTTTGGTAATTTTAAACAGCCAAAGGGTTAACAGCATGAAGACAGTATGATGTTACTGTAGCGTCATACGAGCCCCGACGTCGAACTACAGCGTCGTGTGATTTCCAGCGGTTCTAATTTTTAAAAGATCCCATCAGCCTGCCCCCCTCCTATGACGAGAAAATTGTTTCTAAAAGTGGCAGCAGGTCGTTACAACGTTGAAGCACGGAATACACAATCGTTCATTAATCATTCCAGCTTCAGTTTCTCTTCGTATTTTATCATCAGCTTTTGTATACAGCGTCACGTCGCGTCGGTGTGAACTTGGTCGTCACGTGTTTATACTCGTCTGCTCGTCCACCGCACGGTTTTTTTTTTTTACAGTCGTGAAGCTTTTTTCCTTTTTCTCCTCTCGCCCGATATTCTTCGAACCGTTGTAGACGGAAACGTTCTTAATAAAACCTCTTTCTCTCGCGCTTTCTCAGAGGTCTCTCTCGGCTCTCACCGAGTTCGCTTACATTAACGATGAAAAACATTCGGCGCTCAGATCGCGATATTTACGTAGTTATTTAGTTGCTTGGAATTTTATTGAACGAAAGTGGAGGGCACTTCTCAAGAGGGATATTAAACTCTTTTTACATTTTATACAACAGAGCTCGGCCCCCGAGAAGATCGATTGTAATATAATTATCGGAACGCTCCGAGTGGCTTATCGCTTTTCCAGTCTCGCTTTTCCCCTTTATATTACGTTAAAAGAATTTGTCACGATATCGCTTTAAATATTCACTGGCCAGTACAAATTAACTGCGCGCTCGCCCACACACGCACACACACACACACACATACATACATCTGGTTTATGTGCGTTCTACGAATATATATTTACAAAATTATTCGTACGTGTGTTCGCCGTGCAAGGTATAAAGCGTGGTGTGTTAAAGCTGTTCAAGCTAATTGAGACCAAACTTACTGGGTCACGACCGGGACGAGTGCTTTTTAGACGAAACCAAGTTTGAAATGTAGGGTACAGCGAGAGGGAATAATCGTAGAATCTCCGCCGCGACTGTATCAGTTTCTTTCACAGAGGAACTGATCTCGAGCAATTAAAAGTTCCGAAATTATTCCGCGAGCTCTGCTGATCTAATGAAAACTGTTCAACTGCGCTGTTTTATCTCTTCGATTTTTGAAAACGAGATCGCTGCCCGCAAAAGTCCCGCCCTTCGTTGCTATTTGCCGAGGGAGATTTGCTTTCCGAAGGAACGTTTCTCAAACAACGATAAACAGTGTAATTGAAAGTGTAAGCGCAACGATTATTAGCTAGTAATTGAGAACCGAGTTGGTAAATAAAATTAAGCCAGCTGGTATATAAATAAAATTTTCCGGGTAAAATTGCCGTTTTGCAAACAATCAAACACCCGAATATCTATATTTATTCGTGGTTCAACCGACGATCTTGCGTTTACACAATTTGACAAAGAATCTCGCATGAATGAAAGTATGTTTCCGAGTGTTGTGAATAATAATTATTTTACAAGCACTGTATTTTACAGCACTTAAATCGCGCCACATCCTCGATCATTGGCAAATGATCGTAAAATATTTCCTTAACCATTAGGTTTAAAACCAATGTGTTTTTAATACTTTTCCTCTTTTACTTAGAATTTCATATTCTTTCGATTTATGATGAAAAAAAATGTATGGTCCAGTTAAAAAAAAAACTGTACAACTTTTGTATTAAGTGATTTTGCATAAATTTAAAAGTTACTTCAGGTTACGTGAATCTCTCTGTACAATATAATACGGCACGATGCATTTCTATACAAAGGGACAATCAGTTTTAGTCTCGTCAAGTAAGCAAAGTTTTAATTGTGAAGGATCGAGCTATCGGTGCTATTAAAGCCCCGTTGTAAAACCCCGTCTTAATTTTCTATACAATGGGACGTTTCACACGCGAGTTACACCCGACTTGCTTGAAACCCGGTGCCTTTTTATTCCTTCAGCATTCACCCCGGGCATTCGCGTGTCTGCACATTACCGCTCATTTCCTTTCCGCCATTTTTCTGGGGGATTGATTTAGAAT